TCGTGACAGTGTCGGCAAATTTACGAACGGTACTTATTCGTGGGTTGGCAGAAAAGATGGTCCCAGGTTCGTCAGCATCACATACGAGGAAATCGGTTTCGGTTAGCCATTTTATCTGGAACAAGAAATCACGTAACAAATAATTACCTAGTAACACAAATAACCGTATAATTATTATACTCACCGCAGTGGTATGCGTGTTATTTCCATGTGAAAGCGATGTTAGTCGACCAGTTCGAGCATCAAGTACTACCAAAGTCCCGTTTGATAAAGCAACGACCATTTTGCGACCTTAAGACTTTCAATATAGATTTAGAAGGCCAAAATTACAATTGACTTACCAGAATCTCGTACAGAAAAAGCTCTCGTCAGGCCAGGCAAATTCGACACTTTCAATTCGCTGGTCCAACCACCCGTTCGTGTGTCTAGTAATCTGAAAAAAATTCTTGGGGATTTTTTGAGACGGGAGGGCAGGGAGGGAGGAAAAAATGAACTGAGTACGGACCGAACGGTAGAATGTAGGCTAGAGATGGCTGCCATTGAGTGTCGATCTACATGGGCTAATCCGGAAATAGTTGGTTCAGAATCCCAATCTAGCTGAGCAATGATAGCACCTCGGAATGGGTCCCAGACCTAGAACTCGGTAGAAAATGATCTTTAGGTTCGCAAACTATTTTGCTGTCATTTTTCAGAGAAGTCCCTGCAATTCCAGCTGCTTAAATTCGAAACGTAATTAAAGGTTTATAGTGAGATAAAGTGATACGGGCCGAAGATTTCATTAATTATTCTTTATCGTATCGGAGTTATAACAAAATCGAAAGGCCCAGTAAAATTTAATTTGCGTTTACTCACATGAAGAATCCCATCAGTCGATGCGATGAGATTATTGGCCAAAAGGGCCACGTCTTGAATGGACCGCTGATGTCTACTGTATGTCTGCTGTGCTTCAACTGTGTCTAGCTCAGGCTTGATGGACCAAAGCCTGATAGGTAAAATTTAAGAGAATGTTTACCCCCAGTATTACAACACTTACTTCACAGTCTTGTCGGAAGATGCGGATATGAACGAATTTTCGTTCGAAAGAGCAACTATTCGACGGACAGTTGAGCCGTGTCCATTGAAGGTGCACAGGGAGAGATGATCAAAGCGCAGAGCAGTTCTGA